GTTATTTTTGAATATTTACGACCAGGAAATGGGCAAATACCGGGAATTTGCGGGGAAAAGGGTGCAATAACCTCTCATTAATCCAATTAGACATGGGACATCAAGCATAACGTATACGCACTGTGGGCTGTTTTAACACAGCATGATTTGTGCTGCTACTTCATTAGACATGTACTCCTGCTTTCGGACGAACAAGACTTTTATTTATACATTTATTTATCGGACATTTATCATGAAATTACTGTAATAACTTGGCGTGCCTGGATTTATGTTGGAAAATTATTTCCAGTTATTTTTCACCGCCTCCCGCTCGACAGAGCTCTCCACGCCGCCTTTCGCTTTCAATTATGTCCTGGATGCTTTGTCCTTCGCCTTCTGTATGGTTTTCCGATGATGGAATCACACAAACTGCGGTCAAATCGCACGCACGCCTGGCTCGGCAACATTTAGCTAACTGATTTGTCGCCATTCATTGGAGTTGTCATTGTTGCTTTTGGGGTGGTTTTCGCTTCTCTTGGCATTTTTGATGATGACAAAGGAGGTTGTGGCTGGCGAATCTGCTGCTGGTAAGCTTGGTTTTCTTGTTAGCGTTCTGCCCGCCCTCATGTGTGAGATTTCCGGCGCAGGGATTTATGGGACAAAATATATAACAAAGTTTCTGCGTTTAAGCTTGTCACCATTTCGAAGAAGAGTCTTGTAAAAAATGCCTGCATCTGCTTTGCTCTTCATTATTATACTGCAATTAAATATTAAGTACTTTATTAAATTAGAAAACGTAGCCTTCTTATGCAATTAAGAACATCTTTAAATTTATCACAAATAAAAACTGTATATATTAAAATTAATTAATTAAAAAGAATTAAAATAAGCAATATCTGTGTCATTTTTATACTCCACATTTAATGAAGGCACCCCATTAGGGGCCCTATATAAATTCTGACTTCCACTTGCATTATTAGTGTTATTTCATTATTTATTCTCCCGAGCATGTTGTTAGTACCGCTGTTTCCCCCCAATAAGCCATTAAAATGTGGAGTAAAAACTACGCATCCATCGAATAGGAAGGAAGTGGCATCGAGGAACCATTACCTGCCCCAATAAAAGCTGAGTGGGTCTGTCGCCATGTGACTACTACGGTAATAACGATGGCATAAAATTCGTAGGAAAAAATCAAGGCGCAACAAACACGAGAGTTTCGGTTGAGGGGGTTGAATTTGAAAACAAAAAGAGAACGCCACCAAATTGACTTAATTCCCTATTGTTGTTTTGGTTTTTACTCGACGGGTTTTTCTCGATTTTCCGGGGGTGGAGCAAACAGCTGATTCGATTGAAGAGAGAGAGAGTGAGAGAGAGAGCTTTGAATGCGTTCCACTTCCAGGGGCTCCACTCTCTCCACAAGAGCACAGAGTAGTACTTTTGGAGCTTAACCCACATTGCCGAGGAGGTCTGAAGCCAGGCCATCAACGAAAGGAATCTTCAGTCGTTGGAATACACTCGTGCGTCGCGGACACAACTGAAAACGTTCAGGCGCCGGAAACTTGCACGTGGCAACGGTACTTGGTCCTTTAGTCCCGTTCTCTCATTCCCGCCGTGCGTGTGTGTTAGTGTGCGTTGGTGTGACGGATTGCGGCTGTATGAGTGTAAACGCCAGCTGTAAATGTGAGCAATTGAAAATGTGTTTCAGGCAGAAGTTGTCCTTTTATCTATGCGAAATTAAGGCGAATCGACAAACACATCTACGCTTTGTGTGTGCGTGAAATGTAAATGTATGCCAAGGCTTAGGAATCCGCTACAGAGCCGCGTCATCTTCTTCATTGTCTGCTGCCTTGCGGCATTCCTCCATCCTTATTTATTTTACGCTTTTTCTCTTCTCTTCTCTCGCACTTTTTGTTGCGTGGGGCATGCGACCAAGAAAAACTGCTTGCAGAATCCAGAAAAAATATATGAAATTTTGATGGGAATATAAAGTTAGCCACGCCGCTCACATTCCACTTAACGGTCATTGACGCTCCCCTTTTTTGGGGAGAAACACGTTGCATGCCCCCGTATTTCCATCGTCGCTGCACGACTTGCATGCAATTAGGCTCTTGTAAGTTTAATCGCCGTGGATGGAATAATTAAGCCAGGCATACGCCAACGACACCGTAACCCCTAAAGTAGGCAAGCAAAAGTTTCAATTGTTGACAGTTCAAGTTGGAACTTATCTTATAAGGCCAGGCCAGGTTATTACCTACTTCTGGCTAGCAATTTAGTCAGGAATTTCCCTTACTTTTGCTTTTTTATTCTATTGTTCTATCATTCATTATTATTGTTAAGCGTGTTTTTGGATATTCGCATTTCACTTTCAATAACATTTATGTAGCAATATATTTATGTTATGTCTTAATATTTATTTACCTTTAGCTACATTTGTATACTAATATGTTTATTCAAGTTTTTAGTTTTCATAAATCAGCATTTGCACTATTTATTTTAGTGCTAGTTTTCAAAAAGTAGAAGTCCAATAGGTAGCAACTGACTATTAAAATTAAATATTTATGTGTGAAATTTGATCTCAATAAAAGGGCCTTGCTTTCTTCTTAAATCTCTAGTTATTTCATTGATCAAAAACTTGGCCGATTAATTCGTTTAATAAAAATGCAACAGCAAACGATGTTCAGCTTTTTGATTTATTTAAAATTCCACTTCCAATATAAATAAAAATTTTCTACCGCAGCCTCAATAAATGCGAAAAAAATTATGTTGTGAATCCTTAATAATCTCGTAGCAAATTCTGTCGGAAAGAAAAAGGTGGAATATATAAATAATACAAAAAATAAAGTGTTCCTATTTATTCGAAGCCCATCAAAAAAATATGAACGCATGTAAACGAAAGCCCCAGTTTTAAATCGCTATAACAAAAAACTTAAATTAAACAAATAAAATGTAGCAACGAATCAATTTTTAACAAAGGATCTAACGAAAAACGGAAAGCAACGGCAACGAACAAAGGCAAATAAATGCTGAATCCCGTGAAAAGTGAAAGCAATTAAAAAACGCTTCAAAACATGAAATGAAATATTTCTCGGTGCAGGATATATGAAAAATCAACAGAACGGTTTCCCAATACTATATGTGTACCAATAAGTGAGTGCGTGTGCAATTGTGTGAACACCTACAAAGAAAGGAAAAGCGGAAACGGCAAATAGAGGAGAAAAAGGATACGCAAGCTTAAAGTAAAAGGACAGCCGAGCAAGCCGAAGTCAAGGATTATTTTCGCCAACAGTGGAAACAATAAACCTGCCAGCAGTCGTACGAGCAACAGTAATATACATGGGTGCGTGTATATAGATCTGTGACTTTCATGTGGTAAGTCAAGCAGAAAGAACAACTCTGCCATAAGCTTAAGTTGTCAATTTCGCAAAGCTGGGATATGCCAAAAATAAATAATCGCGTCCACTTGCCCTGGGAGATCATCGAATGATTTACCCATCACAGCGGGGACTGAGTCCCTACTCAGATCAATCACATGGTTTCCTAATTTACCCGGCGTCAACAAAAATAAAATCAATTCAATGAAGATAAATGAGTTCAAAGTAAAAACCGAGTCGGCAAGCGTCTAAATATAAATCCAGGACCTCATCCTCGCTCGTCTTCCACTCTCACTGGCGATTGGCAGCGGTAATAAGCGATTACAATGTCATGGATCTAAATCCAAGTCGCAACAAGGACACCGCAGTCACGTGCGTTGCGTAAAAGCAGCCACAGGACCTCAATAAGTCGCAGGTGTTGCGTCTCCAAAGATTCTAGCAACTTGGATGCGGACGCGGATAAGAATAGGGCCATCGACTGGCGACGACATCGCACATTATAGAACTGGGTGGCGGCAATAATTTACCTCGCTGTCATAAAAAGTTTCAGCTTATTACTCATACGCCCCCACGGCCGCAAGCTGATGAGCAAGAATATCATATTAATCATTTTGCCAATGATTGGGATGATTTCCCCTACCCCTACCCTTTCATCCACTTGTATAGCTTGCTTTCTATCGATTTGGATACTTGGCTATGACAGACACGCACGTAAAATTGCTCCACAAACACCTGAGTTGCTATTTTTAGTTGGCCCAGCTGTTGGGGTCTCCATTTTGATAAAAGAAAAAAGAGTTTCCGTTTCCTGAGAATTGCATAAATTAACGCGAACAATTATGCACATTTTTCCCGTGCGCAAATAAGCGCCGCCAGACGAAGACAGGCGAGCTTCTTTTGAGCTTTTGAATATTTTAGCGCTCCATAATTAGTCGGCGGGCAGGAATCCACTTGAAATTTGCCCCCATTCCTTGCTATTTCTGAGGTGAACATTTGCTAAACGAACTTTGAACATTTATTTTCGCGAACTTCACTCTCGCCGGCACTTCTTTTCAGCCGCGAGCATAGCGAGTCTGAATTTAATTCTAACTCAAATTGTTTTATATTAAAGTTTTCGGAATCTACACCAACAGCGAAACATGTTAATACCGTATTTAACTTCAATAGGAGAGGTAGCTTTTATAATACCAATTTATACCACATTTAGTCCACATTTTTTAATGTATTGAAATTGCTAAAACGTTTTTAATAGCTCATATTTGTTCAACACTTAAAAATGTATAAAATTGAATTTTATATAAATACCTATTTATTTGTGTAATTATTTTACGGTTTCTTCTTTTAATTTGTCATAGCTGTTTACTGTATTTAATATTGTATTTTAATGGAAATGTTTTTTAAATGTACTTTTTATAAATGGGTAATTGATAGTTATGTGCACACTAGACCAAAAGGATTGTGAGACAGCCCCAGTTAAAGAATATTGGTTTCATGAGTATTTTATACCGTGTGCTATTTCCGCTTCTGATTTTAGGCATATATTTTGCGTGAATTAAAATAATTATTAATTATTTAAAGTAAACTAAAAAGGGTATTCGCCAGCTTGAAACCTTGCACAAGCAACCAAGTTAAACAAGACTTGGCCAGATTTGATCAAGCCGTTTGCAGTTCTTCAGGCAAACTTGTGCCGCCTGACTTATTGACCGTCATCTGCAAAGGTTCGATGCCAAACTCTGTGGCCAGTTCTTCCAGAACAGACAGAGTGCAGGGAGACATTGTGAGTCCACCCTGTTCGTCGACCATCTTCATGTGCTGCAGCTCCTTGTCACCCGGCACCATCGCTGGCTTTCCCACCTGGCTGGGCGTCGCTTGTCTCAGCAGCCGGTGGAAGTCGACCAATCTGTCCTCGAAGGAGGGACAAAAACGCATCGGATCGATGGCCACATAAACTTGGCCCAGATTCGCAGGAGCATTTTCCGCACTATAGACCCCACGCCGCTGGATTTGATTTGCATATCGAGCACCTGTCATCACACCGCACAGAATATCCACTGCGGCAGCCATGCCAAAACCCTTGTGCTCCGGCTGAAAGGCTCGGATTCTTTGGGCCCTCAAGGCCTCCTCTGTTGAGGTAGTTTCCTTGCCATTTCTATCAAAAGCCACTAATTTGGGCACTTCCTTTGACCCGCCATTGCAGTAGGATAGCTCCAGTTCATCCACCGAACAGGCGGCCATACCAAAATCCGCCAGAAATTGTTCGTGGACACCGGAGGCGGCACAGGCAATTGGATTTTCCCCCAGAACGGGTTCGATTCCACCAGCAGGCACCAGAGTTGGAGCACCGTTCGTCATGCATAGACCAATCATTCGCTGCTCCAGCGCTTGACAGGCATACCAGGAGGCAAATCCAATGCAGTTCGAACTGCGAGCCGAAACCCAGCCGATGCCCACTTCCCGGGCCTTTTGAAGGGCCAGATCCATGCAAAAGTTGGCCACCACGGGTCCAGGTGCATTGTGGCCATCCACTAGGGCGATGGCTTTCTTTTCGGACACGATTCCCGGCGTGGCGTCACCCGCAACAGTACAGTTCAGAAGATCTGCCGCAATTGCGGGCAATCTATGGATGCCCATGGAGGGCTGTCCCATATAATCCGCGGCTATCAAAGCATCGGCCATCTCACTGGCCGCCTGCTTGGGCACCTGCATGGCTGAGAACACCTGGCTAACGAATCTCTGGGCCTCCAGGACACCAACCAGCCCGCTGGAATCCTTCATCCGTTTCGCATTCTCAAAGCCTCCTGGTTGCTTCTGCCCGCCACACATCAGCAGCACCCTCTTGATATTATGCCACATCAAGTCGGATCCAGCCGATATATTTTGAGGAACCACATCCGCCTGGTCTATCCGAATGCTGGTATTCTTGATCCACTTACGCCTGTCTCCCGTGGCTTTGACCCCTTCATTCAATTTCGGCGCTGCAAAGCTGTGTGGCGTTTGATTACTGGTGACAAACTTGAGCCGCACCTTTCGAAGGGCGTCCAGAAAGTTGACTACTACCCTCATTTGCTCAGCGCTTAGCTATATAATGCTATCTTATTTTCAAAATATAAGTTCCTGTGGAGTTTGTAGTATTTGTCTAAGGTATTATGAGTTCTAAAATATGTATACGCATTCAATTGTTATCTTTTTTTTATATGTTCTGAAAATTTTTGCAAATAACACTATAAATTGTAATATAGATAAGCTATATTACTGTAAATTAAATGTAACATAAATAGCTTATGTTAATTGCCTTGTTTTTATAGCTTTTTTTCTGTTCATAAGTTGTATTAAATTCCATCGTCTGCTTGTATTAACTTACACATAAAAATGTGCTCACATTTAGACAAACATGTAATACATATTAGTGGATGTGTAAAGAAAAATGTACAGGGAACATTTTCAAACAAACTCCCTGTGCATTCCATTGCTTCCCAACGGGTAGCTCTTGGTAACAGCTCACATTTCGCATATGAGGATTGTAAAAGATACATTTTTAACAAACAAGTGTACATATCCAAATGAGCTACTTTCGCATGCACCACTCGCTGTGCGTACTTGAATTGTCAGCGCAGAAACAACGAAATATCAGGACACAAATAAGCAGGGTAAAGTCGAAAAGGGAAAACAAATGCGATGGATGCAAAAGCTTAAAAATGCACACAAATTGCACTGGCACAGTTGAGGATGTGTAAAGTAACCTTGAGGTCTGCATACACCAGGCAGATACATACAAGTACGGATACAGATACATTTCGACGCTACCAGATGAAAATTCAGTGTTCATGGAATGTGGAAAATGTGACGGTGACCTTGTTTATTTATGTAGCCGCCAACTCATTCCAAATAAAAATAAAACAGCACTTTAATTTAACACATTCTTATTTTTTTGTATGTAGCTAATGGTTTAATATGGAATGTAAATATAGTTCGCTTGCATTTCATATTCATGATAATAAATGACCAATTAGTTTTCATGGCTATCGGTAAAAAAGATGATTGAATTAGTCAACAGCTGGGATCTGAATTTATAAACCAAACAAAGAGCTTTTTTAATAACCACACATTACTTTAGTTTGCGTTTTATCAGGCTAGCATCTCTACACTAATAAATAATGCATATTACCCTATTAATTTCATACATACATATATGACACGGAAATCACATGCAAAAATGTCTACTTTGTTTTATTTACAGTAATACAGAAACCGATTATTTAATCTGTAAAATCTATTTGCTTACAGAACAATTAATTTTTGAGCACGGAAATATTGCAATACAAAGAAATCAGACATGTCTTAAAGTAGTAAAATGACAGAAGATATCAGAATAAGTAATATAATGATTTTTAAAAAATGATTTATAGTACAATAGTGTCAAAATAATTGTTTTGAAAGACACTGCAATTAGATAATCCTCATAAATATATTTTAGTTAATAACACGACCAATTTGGGTAATCAACCTCTAACATTAAATTTTCCAGATCAAGATGAAATCCAATCAGCTGGCAGCTCGTCTCGTCCTCCCAGCCCATCAGCACAGATAGTCTAGATGACCAGAAAGAAGTCACGCCAATCCAGAGCCACATCGAAATAGGAGAAGACAGCTTAACAACAGCTCGCTCAGGTCGCACAACTTGGAGCTCCACTGTGCCAGGATGGGGGAAAGTCAGCTGCTGCTGTTGCTGCGGCTCCTGCTGCTTCCTACAGTCCTCTTTGGCTGGATGGACAGTGCCGGTGCCTCCACGGCGGACATCTACAAGGGCGCCCGTCTGGGCCACCGCATCGTCCAGACGCGCTACGGCCGACTGCACGGACTCATCCTGCCGCTGGACAGCTTTCGCTTCCTGCGATCCGTGGAGGTCTTCCTGGGCGTGCCATATGCAACGCCTCCCACCAAACAAAATCGGTACGAGCTTTTTAAGTGACTTTAGCTGACAAAACTCAGGAACTAATATAATAAATAATAGTATATAATTTATTAATACTATCAGTATTATTAACTAGATCATTTAAATAGATTATTGGATCAGTATCAATATCAGTTTTACCTAGATCATTTAAATAGATTATTAGATCACCTCAATTTTTATTTAAAAGTAGAATTATCGATTGTTGCTTAGGACTAGTGCTTTTATCCTCCATTTATTTCATGTTTAGGCCCTACTTTATCAAAAGCATTCTATTTTCATTCACGTTTTATAAAGTCAAAGCACTCAATCTCTTTTATCCAGGTTTAGTCCCACGAGAGCACCAGCGCCTTGGGACGGCATCCGGATATCGGATAAATACAGTCCCGTGTGTCCGCAGCGATTGCCCAACATCCAGAATGAAACGGCGGCTCTGGAGAAGATGCCCAAGGGCCGCCTGGAGTACTTGAAGAGATTGCTGCCCTTTCTGGAAAACCAGTCAGAGGACTGCCTGTACCTAAATGTGTTCTCGCCGGTCAATGGTAAGAGCTGAATGTGTACTTTAAGAATCTAGGGCTTGTGCTGGAGAAATGGCCACATTTGAAGCACAAAGAGCTGCACATAAATCTCATTTAAATTCAATTAATTAAGATTAATCGTACGCCACGTAATGCCAATAATTTCTACGCAAAGCAAAAGCTAGCGCTCACGTAACCACTGCGCAAACCTTATCGCAGGAGCCACCCCACTAAGCTCACAATCCCTGGAAGAGCCGGATCCGGGGGAATCGCTAATCTGAAGCGATTCCACCGCCGGAGTGCTGGCGAAATCCGCTTTGCACGCAAACGGAAACGTTTAATGGGTCATGAGCGCTCCGGGCACTTGGCGGTGTGTTGAAAGGGCAAAACGCGCTATCACAAGTCTCAAAAAAATACAAAAAGCAAGCGAAAACAACAGGATTAATATATTTGTATCTTGATTGCAACACGGCTGACACAACTTTTTGTACACTCCTTTCTTGTATTTGCCAGCCGGTGCCAATGAGAAGAAGTTGCCGGTGATTGTGTTCATACACGGCGAGTCCTTCGAGTGGAGCAGCGGAAATCCTTACGACGGCAGTGTCCTGGCGAGCTATGGCGAAGTGGTGGTGGTGACACTCAACTACCGACTGGGAATATTGGGTAATCAAATATGTATAAATTTCCCTTCAATGTTTACATGAAATCAATTTGTTTTTCCCTTACGAGTTGGTAGAATGTGCATATTCAATATTTAATGCTTCTAATTATTTGGCAGGTTTCCTCAACGCCAATCCCAATCCACATGCCCATGCGAGGGTGGCCAACTACGGGCTGATGGACCAGATGGCCGCCCTGCACTGGATCCAGCAGAATATCCAGAAGTTTGGCGGGGATCCCAATTCGGTGACCTTGGCGGGTCACGGCACGGGTGCAGCCTGCATTAACTACCTGATGACCTCGCCTACGATGGTCCGTGGCCTCTTCCATCGGGCTATTCTCATGTCCGGATCGGCGTACTCGTCCTGGGCCCTGGTCGAGGATCCAGTACTATTCGCCATCAAGCTAGCCAAGGAGGTGAACTGCACCATTCCCGATGACATCAATCGGCACCACGAGCAGATTGTGGATTGCCTGAGGGATGTGCCTCTGGAGGACCTCTACATGGCCGACATTCAGGCTCCCAACTTTCTCACATCTTTCGGGCCTTCGGTGAGTTGAAGCTGAAGTTTTAACTTGTTGTAAAGAAGTAATACCAGTTCATTTAGCATGGATTCAAATTGTTACCATTGCAAGGAATGGTAACAACGGTAATTTCATAGTTAACCCATTACAAAGAACCTACAACTTAAAAAAAAGTAATACCATTTGAGGCAAAGAGTTAGTGCACTAAGGGCACTCATTTGAAGTCATTGATTTCGCTTTTTGTGGCACTTGCTCTTCTGCTCGCTCCTCGCTTCAATGGACTTTATTACTCACTTACGCACCCCACTCCTCGTCCTTGGAGCACCACGACTCCAGTTACTAACTTGCGATTCCTTTGCCCTCCTCGATTTCAATTTAGGTTGATGGCGTTGTCATACGACCCGGACATTCCAATCTCGATATCGATGATTTAATGGCGCGCAACTCGAGGCGCTCGTCAGCGGACTCCGGCTTCCAGTCGTCCGCCGGGGGTGGTGGCGGTCAAGGAGGCGGTGCTGGCGGCGGAGGAGGCGGTGGCTCCGGATCGGCGTTCGGCGGTGGATATTTCGGCGGCGGCGGGGCCGGAGCGATGAACATGGGCGGTCACTATGACGTCCTGTTTGGCGTCGTTACGGGCGAATCGATTTGGCGCTTCAGTGCCCACGATATACAAAATGGTTTCGAGGGCGAGAGACGCGACAAAATTATCCGCACCTACGTCCGCAATGCCTACAATTATCACCTCAACGAGATATTCTATACGGTGAGTAATTTTCCTTATACTATTTAAATATAACTTTATGTCGGGAATGCGATGTCTGCGAGTGTAGCCATAAATCTTGGTTCTTCAGTTTTCCTCTCCTAATGGCGTTATATTGCCTACTTGTCTGCCATCAGATAAAGCTTAATTATTGCCTTTAAAAAATTTGCGAGTGAAAACTTTATAGACGGTTGGCGGATGAATGAAATATGGTTCTCTCCAGTGAATCATCTGTTTTTCTTGCCATTTGACTAGACTGCTTATGCAAATTTAATCCCACTTACCGTTTTTATGCATCACATTTAAAAACAATAATTTCATTTATAGAAATTAATTTTGATGTTATGATGTAGAAATTCGAAAAAGTTAAGAAATGTTCCAAGGCTGAACTTCTAAACTCCATAACTCAACTTATCTGAATCGGATCTTGAAGTGGCATACCTCTAAATGTTTCTGGCGTAATTTACTTAAAATCTGCATTTAAAAAATTGTTTATTTTTTTGTATTGTATTACTTCTTGCCCAATTTCTACCGATATTCCAGAAAGTGTTGAAATGTTGTTGTTTGCACTTCCACTAGCTGAAAAACGGGTATCTGATTGTCGAAGAATTCGACTATCGCATTCTAACTTGTTTAATATTATTTAATAGACTATTGTTTATGGTATATTCTTAAGCACAAAATGAAGCAATTACCTTTTTTTAATACTCAACCATT